ATGAAATTAAATACTTAATATTAAAAAAAATTTTATCAAATGACTTTTATTTTACAAGATAAATAAGTCTAGGCTACAGTCTAAAATTAGTGTAATCATCAATCATACAAACACGAAATGTTTAAAATACTGTAAAATAAATAAAAATAAAAATAAAACGGAGTGAAATAAACTAATAGTTGCACAAATATTTATGCGCAGTTTCCTCTTAGCTTCGCCGAATTGTAGCGCCGGAATTTTTTGGGGTTGAGAGCAAAATACGACTTACAATTTTTATTTTGTTGGGTTGCTATACTCTGCCTGGAGGAAGTGCAGAATGAGTGTTTTATGCAGAAACAGCTGTTGCAAACAGGTAGATCCTACTCAAAATTAGGTGGAACTCCAAGAATGGGATTTCTCTCAAAGAAATTAACTGGCTTCAGATCAAAACTTGCGGAGACAGTCGGCATGATGGGGAAATCCTCTTGACATGGTATGTGGTGGAAGCCTAGTGTGTACCACACTACAATGTCTTTGTTCTCGATGGGTCGATCTCTGCATGCAAAAGTTCAATAGACTATGTCTTGCATCATCATCATCAATTAATTTTATTATACAAATGTGGAGGTAAGCTTATTTTTTTGTTTACCTTTCAGACCACACAGCAAGTGTGTCTTCACCATGGCTCTGGTACGTAAACAAGCCTCCAGCCCATTGCTCGCTCCGGTTGTATGGAGTAACCCATATCTGGTTGTTGGTGAATGCAGCTCTCTTCTGCGGTGGATCATCATGGTCAAGCAAGCTAGCAGCAGTGGCAGCGGGAACCACTTTGTACCCTACAGGATTTCCGATCCGTGTCTTTTTGGTGGGGTTGATGACATGGAACTCAGAGGGATCGTAGAGCTTTAGCTGAATCTGTGCATCTTTCTCAGTCTTGGCGACATTTCTTACAGCTTTGAGGTAGCTTTTTCTAGGTGACTCTCCAGGAGAAGTGTCCTGCCTTTTGATATTAACTTTGACAAAGGAATTATCAGAGCCATCTATGTCCATGTCAAGGTAGAAGCCAACGTAATGGTCGTGGATGACTCCTATCACATTTTCAGACAGAAGTGTACCGTAGAGATTTTCCTGCTCAGGCACTTGTCTCATGTTCTCATACTTAGTCCCTTTCACCATCAAAATGCCACTAAGTCCAACCTGATTTTGAAATTGAGAACGGATAGATGCAATGTAGTCATATATAGTAAAATTAAGATTTGCCCATTATTTTAAGACCAAAATACAGTAAAGTTGTTAATTACTACTACATACCTTAACTCTGATTAGTCCATCTGTTTGAAACTCCCAATCAACGATGTAGTCATAGTTAGCTACCGATGCAGCCATTCTAACCACCAGTGTCACCTTCGGCCTCACCTCTCTAATCTATTTGTTAAATTAATATATATATATATATATATATATATCCCATTAATGAATGGCAATTGGTAAATCTTTGGGATTGAAAATGTAATTAGATCCGGTAACCTTAATTACCTCCATTCCGGTGATCGGACTCTCAGTATGCCTCCACCCAATATCACCGGAATAGCTCTCGTAGACGCAAATCATGTTGGGCTGGACGTACGGTTTGCCATCTGCTGCCGCAAACACAGCGTCCATATAGTACGCATTCTTGGGGCAATCGTTAAGTGGGTCAAGCGACATAGCCTGCAATCCGAACCCGTACTCACCTGCATCCAAATATGTTTTGAAATACCAGGCATCCGTAGGGTCCATGTAAGGCACAAACAGCTCTGACGTGAACCCTTTGTACATGACGTTCCTCATCTCCCCTGTATCTGGATCCCTGACTTTTGCCCGAGAAATGATCACCCCTGCTCTCGGGTCTGCTTTCAGGTGGAATTCCCAGTTTGCCCATTTCACTAAGTGTTCATCTTCAACCACAAAGCTTGGACCTTTTGGCTGCTCGATGGATATCGGGTTTACCAGGTTCAGTTTCTGCTGTTGCGCCGCGTACCGATAGTCAGTGTTGGCGGCCTTGGGAATGGGGATATTCCGACCCTGGTCCGAAATTTCCAACACCTCTTTGGTGTCCATGTCGAGGAGGACAATCAGGCCTTCGATAGGCCTCATGTAGAAGTTTGGAGTGTCTTTCTTGGAGTAGCATCCTATCTTAATTAACCTCCTGCCCTCCTCTTTCTTCCCATACCATCCTAAGGACATCGGTAAGCATGCCAGGTCAGCCAAATCAACACCACGGTTGGTGATGGTGCGGTTGAACTCGGCGTTGGACAGGGGAGCCCAAATGGTGGAAGTCAAGTCCTCAAACGTTAAGGTGGGATAACCAGAGCGAGGGACGGTGTTGTGAACCGTGACTTGAGTGGTTTCCAAGTTGACAGTGAAGAGGTGCGAGTGTCCGTCTACCCGCGCGACAACAGAGGCCAGTCTGGGTGGAAGAGGGTCGGCCTTTGTCCACTGGATGACTTGTTCTTTGTGGGGCTCTTCCAGATCGATGGAGTGGAAGGCGTAAGGGTTAGAGGAGTTGAAGAGGGCATGGGAGGAGAGGATGGAGCGGACCATGTTGATTTCTTTGATGGTGAGAGGGTCGAGAGGGTGATTGGGGGTGTCGGACACATGTGGTGGTTTATTGGATTGAAGACGGATGCACCAGGGGGATGGAGAGTCAGGAGCGCAGTCTAGGAGGGCGATCACATCGGGTGGCGGAGCGAACGGAGGATGGTTCCTGGCGAAAAGAAAGAGGAAGGTTATGGCAATGAAAAGGAAGAGAAGAAAGGTATTGAATTTCATGGTTTCGTAATTGCCGGCAAGAGGTGATGAGATGGTGGGAGAGGTCGGGTTCTTAAAAATGGGTGTGAGAAACGTATGATATGCGTATGGCTGTGATACAAGGAAACAAAACGGAAAAAAGGCAAAACCATCGGTTAAGATTTTGAACGAATTTTAAATATATTATTGAATTCTTAATTTTTAATTGATATATATAAATTTTTGAACTTTATAATTTAAGTAATTTAATTTTTAATTTTTTAATTATTATAAAAATAAAAACTAAATTATTATAAAAATAAAACTTAAATTACTTAAATCATAAAATATAAAAATTTATATATATATCAATTAAAATTTAAAAACTTAAAGAAAATTTAAAGTTAATTTAAGAACTGAACATATAGTTTTGCTGGCAAATTGTCTTGTAGTATTATAAATAATAATAAAAATGCGATCCTTAGGTAGTTCTACTTTTGTTTTCCACCATGATTTATTGTCCGTACGCCTGGGCCAAATGATTAAGTCTAAGGTTGAGCGAATTTTTGTTAGAATATTTTAGACCAAAACAGATATAGAAATTACACATTATTTTTTAGAAAATTATTAAATCATATTCGGTTTAATTTTTTTTTTGACATATTTTTAGTTTAAATATTTAAAAATATAATATAAATAAAATCAATTTAATCAATTTTTGTATTTTATGTATATAATTATATCTTTAAATTTGTTTATTTTTAATTTCAAAACAAAAAATAGTAATTTTTTAATGATTCTAAATTTTTAAATTTTAATTTGATTATATTAGAATATATAATTGATTTTCAAATCTAAATATCAATATTTAATAGGGTAAATTTTTAAATTTTAAATTAAGATTTCAATTATCAAATGTAAATTAAAACTCTAATTTTTTTAAAAGTTGAGACTGATACACACTAATTTCTTAATTAAAACTCAATTCAAAAGTTAGAGATTCTATACTTAAAAAAAATTAAAAATATATCATATTAAATATAGATACTTGCATTTGAAAACCAAAAAGGCAAAAACTCAATTCAAAATTCAGAAATCCCGTTATATTAAATATTAATACTTGGATTTGAAAATTGCTTGCATATTCTAATATAATTCATTTTCAAATCCATACATCAATATTTAATAATATAAATTTTTGAATTTTAAATTAACTTTTAATTAAATGAATCAACTTTGGGAGTCTAATTTTTTTTTTAATTAGAACTAATGTTAAACTATTCTCATAAAATTAAATGTTTTTATTTAAAAAATTATAAGATAAATGTGTATTAGTTTCAACTCTCAAAAAAATTAGAATCTCAATTTATATTTGAAAATCGAAATCTCACCTTATTAACTGTTGATATTTAAATTTAAAAATTGATTATATATTCTAATATGTGAAATGATTTTGGGATAATTTTTTTTTACCACTTTTTGGAACAACTTGACGTGTCATTTAAATAATTTGTTCTTTTAATTCATATGGGACCCGTAATATTGAATGTATTTACTTTTTTAATTATATGTGGAAGTTGTATAAAAAAATGTAATAAAAAAGTTGTTCTTATAGCACCATCCATTCTAATATAGTTAGTTTCCAAATTTAAATATCAACATTTAATAAGATAAATCTTTAAATTTTGAATTGAATTTGAATTAGATAAAACGATGTAGTTTAAGATTGAAACTCTAATTTATTTTAAGAATAGGGATTGATATATATTTTTTTTCCAAAAAAATTAATATACATCTACTTATTTAATGTTATATTATTATTCTAAACTCTACATGATATTGTAATTAAATTAAAACATTTTCATTTTATTTTGAGGAAAATATCTATATCTATTGTTTCCGTTATAATTAATGGTATTTTGATTCCAAATCTCTTATAATCTCTAAAATTAGAAGAGACATTATTATTATTATTATTATTATTATTATAAAAAAAGTACATATTAGTCGCGACTCTTAAAATAAATTGGAATTCTAACCTTAATATACACCGTTTTATTTAATTAAAACTTAATTTAAAATTTAAAAACCTATCTTATTAAATGTTGACATTTAGATTTGAAACCGATTATATAAGTACATAACTGGTTTCCAAATCTAAATATCAATATTTAATACGATAAATTTATAAATTTTGAATTGAAATTTCAATTTTCAAATATAGGTTGGAAACTCTAAGTTTTTTAGAAGTCGAGACTGATACGCATTAAACTCTTTAATTAAATGAAAATATATTGTTTAAAGTTAAGACTTTAATTATTTTTTAAAGTCAAAATTGATATACACTATTCTCTAATTATATAATGACATACCCAAGTTAGAGATTAATAGGAAAGCTTGTATTGTAAAAAAATAGTCAAAAAAATATTTAAAACATACCTTGTTTTAATAAAATCCTTAAAAAAATATATCTTAATTTTTAAAGCAGGAATAAAGTTATTTTAGTCTTGTGATACGTTATTTTAGTCTTGTGATACTTTATTAAAACAATGTAATTTTAGAATACTTTTTTACCTAATTTTTTGTAATACAAATTGATACTCATTAATATCTATAGATATTAGTGGTACTATTTAAATTTTTCATACGCAAAACCATATCTAAAAGCAAAGTAATTAAATGAGAAATCTTGATATAATCACATGATATAAAAACATAATTATCAAATAAATTAGTTTCATGTGTAAATGTCTTCATAGAGAATTGGTTAATATAAAATAAACCATTTTATGAATATGAAACAAAGATGATTCAAGTCACGCCCATTGCCATAGATAGAATTTTAAGGATCTAGAAATACAATCACTTAAATTTGTTGTGTAGTGAGCTCTATTATAGAATTCACCATCCAACAAGTGCTAGCTTTGGACTTGAAAAGCAACCCCATTTAACCTTTCAATGGAGAAGTTTTCAATGTGGGGATTGTGATCTTTCATCCAAGAAACCCAACATTCCTATTTCCATTCTTAGACTAGAACAATATTTCCACTTCATAAAAATTAACTATCACTATACCTATGACCTTTTGGTCTAAGTGAAAGAAACTCAGTTCCTTTTAAACAAAATTTTGAGTTTGAGTCTTGTGAATAGAGATACAAGCGTTGAGAGAGCTTTCCCCTTATGAGGTCTAACACAACTCCATTCCAGATTAATCAGAGTCTAATTTAACTTCTGAATATTGAGGGTTAGTACAAAAAAAAAAAAAAAAAACTATCACTCTAGGTAAGTAGCAATAGTCATGTCCTAGGATATCTCATCTAAATGTCTCAAATCAATTCTAGGCTTTCATTTTACATGAGGTGTATCAATCTGTACATATGTTGAAATAAAAGCAATGTATTTTTTTCATGGAAGTTACAATATGAACTTTTAAGCAACAAAAGAGGTACATGAAGCAATAACAATAGCCAAAATGATTAATCTTGTTTACATGGTCAGTAACTTTTATAAATAGTCATGTACCCATTCAATAAGGATTGAAAGAGACATCATAAAGGAGGCATAAATAAGTGGTAGCTGACCAACGACCTGTTGATTCGAATAAAAGGAACTCGAATCCCTCTAAGTAAGATTTCAAATTCGAATCTTATGAATAGAAAAATAGATGTTAAGAGAGTTTCTCTCCTAATGAGATCCGACCCAGTTCAATTCTGAATTAATTGGATCCAATTTAGTTACCGAATATCAAGAGATTAATACCAAAGTAGTCAATACCGTACCGGCATGCGTACCGATTTTGCTACTGGAACGGTACGTACCGGATACCGGAATTTTTCGCGTACTGTTTTGGATTTATCGCTATAAATATATATTTTTATAAATAAAATATCAAATTTTAAAATAAAATAAGAAATACTAAT